ATATATAATATATATATATATATATATATATATATATATATATATATATATTAAGATATTATAAATATACTATAAAATATATTATTAAATATAAAATAAAATATAAAAACCTATAGTGAAAATAAAATCTCATTACATAATTTCACATTATTATTTATATGTAAATACTTATTCATAAAAATAATAAAATATACTCATGAAAATAAATATATTTAAAGAATAATATATATTTATATTTATTTTGAAATTAATAACATTAAAGTAACAATTGATATTTCTGAAAACTTAAACAACATCCATAACGAAAGATTGATCCACAGCAAGACCAATGGTGTATACCAGGATGTCCAATATGACCATGTCCACAGCCTCTATATCCACCTTTAATTAAATTATATTTTATATTATAATAGATAATACTATATAATAAAATTATTCAAAGAATGTGTTACCAGGCATAATTCCTCCACATCCACAAGTAGCTTCCTTCTTACCACCACTTGAACAAAATGTACAACAATGATAGATACCAATGTGAGATCTAAATGTGTTCCTTGTATTTTCACAGGAATTTTCTGCAAAATTATTTTTAGTCAAAAAAGAAAAATTAATATCTTTGATTGAATGAATATTTACCTGATGGTATATTACAAACTCCTAAAGTTTTTAATCTTTTTATTATTATGTTAGCAAGACTTAATATTTCTATATCTGAACCATCTGCAAGTAATTCATTTGTAAGAGAGATAGCATCAAGAAGTTGTCTTGCTCTCTTTAATCTATTAAATTCTTGAATTCTTTTATGTGCCTCTCTAGTATGTGATGCTATTGTATTGTAATTTTTTAGTTTTATTTTATCATTGAAGGTTTCATCGAAACATCTAATTACATTAAATAATTATTAATTGTAGATTAAGTTATATTATATGGTCAATATCATTTTTAATTTTCTAATATAAATAATGATATTGTATAAATAAAATTTATATTACAAAAATAATATTTGTCATGTGATGAGTATTTAATAAAATTCTTTATTTACATAAAACAACATATTATTTATAGTTTAGTACTGTCATTTGAGGTACAAGTTATATTATTATTATTATTTAATTATTATTTATTCTTATCAAGCTATATAATTTAAATTTCAATAAAATATATCTTCAAAATTACTTTTTTACACATGATTACATACATGATTACAATTATATTCTATTATAATTTTATAATTATACCGTCGTTACTTTAATTATTAATTTGAATTCCTGTAATATTCTAAAGTATATATATCAAAAGATATTAAAATAAATCCATATTTTATGAAACAGAAATATGTTTTATAAATGCAATATAATCTTTGAATGTTAGGTTAGAGCAATACTTTTTTCAAAATATATTTGAAATATAATTATTTTAAATAAAATATTGATTATTTTAATCCATAAAAATTATTTTACAATTTATAATTTATATCCATATATATTCAAAAATATAAATTGTTTTTCACAAATTATACGAGCACATACTCTTTAACTGCCATTTAAAACAAAATTATATAAGTTTTGTAATGTAAATTGTTTAATTTAAATTTATATAAAAAAATGTTAATATAAATAATCTAATATAAGATAGATTAATTATTTTTTTTATTTCTAATAAAATGTAATATAAATGTATTTCGTTTGTAGTTATACATTATATTGACGTTATAGTAGCATGTTCAACTCATCAAACAAATTTTTTATTTATTATTTATTTATTATACTATGAATTACTATGAATTTATATATTTTTTGTAAAATATGCATTCATAATTATATTTTTAAAATTCTATAATTAATCCTATATTCTTTTATGATTAAGAAATAAATAAATAATTATTTTATAAAATGTTAATTATTTTTTATTAGATTAATATTAAGCGATATTAAATAAATCTATATAAGCACATAATTAAAATATTATATTTTATGTTTTATTATAATTATTTACAATTATTGATAAAATAATTGATAAAATTTATAATCTATAAAATTAAACTATAAAAATACATATGTTTAATATTAAAAAAAATATGTACTATGTCTACTAATAAGAATAATTAATAATAAGATACAATTGTGTTTTTAATTCTAATATTTTGGAATACTAAGTTATTATATAGCTTATAGTAATATAAGTTATTACTAATTTTTGTATTTCAAAATAAATATAATTATAAATTTAATAAAAGAATTATTATACACTACAATTAAGTGCAACTCCTAGAAAATCTTCAAATCCTATAGTGATTACTCCTGTTTGTTCATTATCTCTTATTCGAAAAGCATCTGAAAAAAGAAGTTAAAAATAATATTAATATAAATGACATATATATAAAGTTTAATATTTAACATTTTTATTATTTTATTTATTTTTACATATTTATTTACCTGTAAATCTCTGAATTTGAACACATAATACAATAAATTGATCTATAGTGATACTAGAATGACTAATAGGATCACTTTTTTTTATTAAAAATGAAATGAATTTTGGACTTAGTCTATATCCCATTTGAATTAAAGCTGCACTTAATTCATTTTCTTGTATACTTCCAGAATTATCATGATCAAAACCACGAAAGACACCTAGCCATGCATTAATATAATTATAAAGAGCTTGAAACTCAAATAAATCTATTGTACCATTTTTTTCCTTGTCAAACATTCCTATAAGAAAAAATTATATAATAAATAAATTTTAAAAATATATAATACAATATATATATACCTATCATAAGTGTACAAGCTGTATCTGAAAATGTACTCCCTTGTCCATTTGCCAATGCAGATTTTAATTCTATAGCTGTGATTCTTCCACTGCCATCACTATCAACAGCACCAAACCATTGCTGCACTTCTGGACTTATTTGTGTTTCAGGATTAGTTGAACCATATATTGTATTCTAAAAATTGATAACACTTTAAAATAATAAAACATGAATTTTTTTATTTATTCATAGAATATGTTTCAATATATAGAATATATTAATTATAAAAAAGAAATATAATTACTGGATAAGCCATGATTATTGTTTACTAACTATTAAATAGTATTACTTGTAAGATGTATTTAGTGCTATACTATTATACTATGCAGACAACTACAGTAAAGTATAGATATACAAATATGTATGATCTATTATTCATATAGATAACTAGTCATTCATACGATTCGAATAATACTTCATTAATTTTTTTATATTTAATATTATTTAATAGTGTTTGTACACGTGTACACGTACTTTATATGAAATAAGAATATATTTTGTTTTATAATATTTCATTGTAATGAAATTAATAATTTTTATATTTTTAGTTAACGCGCTAAAATGACAGTGCCATCTTACGCATTGTTTTGTATTTAATACGATCGTGTACACATATAGAGAGTAGAGTATTCTCTAGTGTTCGCTTCTGCTTACTTTTCTGACAGTAGTATTAGATAGGAAAAGAACGACTGTTGAACGTTATTTTGATCTTTGTTAATAAGTAACTGATTTTGATCCCACAATGGACGATTTACAAAATTATAAATTACAGCTTCAACAGGTGAGATTTTTATATTTAACCTAACACAAAGGATGGAATGACGAGTCCATTTTTGGCAATCTCTTTTTTGTTATGACATCAAAACATGAAATAAATTTTATACTTTATTATATTTTATTATTTTAGGTAGAAGCTGCACTTACTACAGATCCTAGTAATGAAGAACTTCTTAAACTAAAAATTGATCTTGAAGAAGTAATAGAGCTGACACACGATTTAATTAAATCACAACAACAGGAAAAAAGGCAAGCTAATGGCATGGATGCTAAAGATCCTATTTTACTTGCAGTTTTGGCTAATAAGTGGAAAGTTGGTGATCAGTGTATGGCACCTTGGAGCGAAGATGGCAAGTAAGTGAAGATATAATTTATATATATATTTTTAATAAATTATCAGTTATTTATTCTTAATTACAATCAATAAATGAATGTGTTTATGATAATGTATTTTTATTACATTTTTCTAGATATTATGAGGCAACCATAGATGCAATAAGTGAAGATGGTGTTGTTAATATAACTTTCAATGAATATAAAAATACAGATGTCACTATGCTTAGTCAGTTAAAATCTGTAGCTAAAAGGCCAGCATCAGATTGGGCAGATCAAAAATCAAAGTGAGTTGACAAGCATTTATTCATTTTATTTATCAATAGTCATTATTAACATGACCCTTCCCCTGCAATTTTAAGCACATATCAGTTTTTTGGAGAACATTGCGGGATAAGTTTTATAAGAACAATGATTACTAATTGTTCATTTTTCTCCTTATTCCTTAATTCCCAATTGGCCACGATATTCACTCCACTGTTTGGTGTGCTTCGATCTGAAATTCCATTATTGTTCATTTGTCTCTTGGTGTCGCACTGTTGTACATCGCCGGAATCCAGGAAAAGGTAACAAGAAATAATAGATTTTTGTTGAATTTCTTTTTTTATTCTTTTTATTGTACATGATTTTTAAATAATATAATATTTCACATTTAAATATGAATAAAATAATAAGGTATTATAATAAGAACACAATGATAAAATTTATTAATTATAAAATTAATAATCATAAACAAATTTTTAATTATAATTTATATTAATAAGTTTGTAGGTGAAATAAAACTGTTTCCATTTCATCATTATTCTTATAAATATTATTCTTTCTGAAATAATAGCAATCACTGTTTTTATGTGTAATGAAACTATATACTTTTATACATGAATTTTACAATACATATTAATAATTAACAGTAATATTAATATATTAATAGAATTTATTACAGCTTTATTCATATCTTTTATGTTTTGTAAAAAAATTTATATGGATATATTGTGATAAATTTATTTTTATTAGTTAACTTCATGAATGATGGGCTTATTAATTTACAGAAAAATGCAAGCCGCTGCAGTAGCAGGCTCAGATCCTAATAAACAAAGGGAATATTTAAAGAAAAAGAAACAGAGAAAACTCCAACGATTTAAAGAACTTGAAGAGGAACGTGAAATGGAAAAAAATAAATGGCTAGCATTTACAAATAAGGTATTATTAATAAATAATTAAAATTTTCAATTACACGTTTCTAAATTATTAATTTGTTATATTTTTTAATGCAGTCTTCAAAAAAAGGTGTAATTAAAAAAAGTATATTTGCCACGCCAGAAAATGTGAATGGTCGAGTCGGAATTGGTACTTGTGGCGTAAGCGGTCGAGAAATGACTAAATTTAGTAATGGTGAAAAATGGAGAAGAGGAGCATGAATGCTGTTGTAAATATGAAATTTAATATTTCGTGAGATAGAACTATCGATTATTGTTATTATTACACTGAATTCAGTTTTGAAGAAGCTGAATATGTATGTTTTGTGTTGCAAGAATGTTTCTGAGTATATGAATGAAGTGTGTTTAGCGGTATTCATAGATTGTATGTAGGTATTATGTTATGAATGAACAATGACCTCAAGTATCTGGAAGGTATTTGGATTTTCTACCTTTATGAAATGAATGATTGACGTGAATGAGTGTATTTCTAGATCAATACATTTATGTGGATATGATTTGTTTATAATCTGTAATGAATACAAATAAATGTATATTTTAAAATCAGATAATGAAATTTTCAAATTATTTATTACATCCTTCTAAATCTTTGGAACAAGATTATTTTAAAATTCTATATATAAGTTATATAAATTATATAAGTTACTTTTTGAATATAACTGTATAACAACTGTATAATTATTTATTTGAAATCTTTTGTGATTAAATAAATTATTTTTTAGTTTGAAGCAATTTAAATGAGATATTAAATAGTATCATAATACATTATAATACAATATACATTATAAAGATGAACTAATTACATCCTATACTACGCTTAGGTTATTAAGTAAATATACATATAGTTAATATCGTTAAAGAAATCAAAAATGGTCGCTCTGTTGTGGAATAACACGTCACCAGTAGGTGATATATTTGAGATGATAAGATTGATATAAGAGGTTGATAAATTGGAAAAAATGAATATATTAAAATATTATATTATCGTGGAAGCTTGTAATAACTGTTGTTTTGTTTAAAATATTAGAAACTTATTCTAACCTATTTAAGAAAAAATCATCAATAAACATTAAATATATTTGACTTTTTTTTTCATTATGATAATATGGTTATATCATTTAAGTTATATTAGTTGTTGATAATTTGAAAATATTAAACAATATGTATTTTCATAAATGATGATATAGAGATGACTCTTCAAGAACAATTTTTTATGTGCCTATTAATTTTTTATTTAAGACTTTTACAAAATTAAAATTGATTAAAAGCAAAAAGACTGATTTAATTGTTAGTAAAAATTAATTATTTTACAAAAACAAAATATTTCTATACAAGAAAATATGGAGTCAAATGAAAGAAATAAATTATCAAATGGAGATGTTATAAACAATAAGGATATCGATTGGTCTAGATATGGACTACACAATAATACAGAAACTCAAAAGAATAATGAAACACAAAGAAATAATAGACAATATGAAGAATTTGGACCTGAAATGTATCAAACTGGAGCAAATGAATTATTTGCTCAAGAATATGTAAGTAATTAAAATAAGATAATATATGATTTGATCTTAAAACTTATATTTTTTAGAGTGCTGATCCTTGGTGGAAATCAAATTTTTTCATTTCTCAGCCTGTATTATTTGGAACATGGGATGGAGTTTTTACATCTTGTTTAATTAATATTTTTGGAGTTATTGTCTTTTTAAGATCAGGATGGATAGTAGGTCAAGCTGGTTCTTTCAATGCTGTATTAATAATTTTATGTACAGGTAACAATGGTTTCTATATGTCAATGATAGTTGATTTTAAAAATTTGAAAAAATTTTATGTTTTATTTTAGTATGTATTGCATTGATAACAGTATTGTCTGCTGTGGGAATATGTGAAAGATGTCGTGTAGAAAGTGGTGGAGTTTATTTTTTATTATCACATGTATTAGGATCAAGATTTGGTGGATCTATTGGATTACTATATTGTTTTGGACAGGTATGTGAAATAATTTATAAATATATAATAATAATAGTAATATTTTTAAAATATCACATATTAATATATAATAATAATAATAATAATAAAAAGTAATAATAATTTTAGAATATTATTTAAAAATTTCTTTTAGGCGGTGGGTTGTGCTCTAAATGTTCTAGGATTTGGAGAATCTATGGCTGGTCTTGTGGGCTTAGAATCTGCATGGGCAGAACGAGGTTTTGCTTGTGCTGCTGTTATTTTACTATCTATTATTAATATTGCTGGTGTCAAATGGGTCATAAAACTCCAATTTATTTTATTATTAATTTTATTGCTTGCTGGTGTAGACTTTATGGTTGGAAGTTTTACTCATATAAATGTTGGTAAGATAAGATAATCTATTAAACTTATAATATTTCTATTATTATTTTAGATATATTATATCTATAATCTATAATATCTAATCTATATATATTTATAATTCTATATAAATTATAGAAGCTGGTTTTGAAGGTTGGTTATCAGGAAATTTAAAAAATAACACTTTTACCAACTATCAGGATGGATATAGTTGGTTTACAGTTTTTGGTGTATTTTTTCCTACAGTAACCGGTGTTTTAGCTGGTATTAATATGAGTGGAGATTTAAAACATCCATCTACTGATATTCCTAATGGCACGTTAGCAGCTGTGGGAACTGGGTAAAAAATAAAAAATAGTTTGAAAGTATTTATATTACATTCATTATTAAAAAATTAATTACAATTTTATAATTTAATTTCAGAACATTTTTATATTTATGTTTTTCAATATTTCTCGCGGCAACTTGTACTCGAAAGGCATTACTTACGAATTTTATGATTGCATCAACAGTATCAGCGATTTCAGTATTGCTACTAGCAGGCCTTTATGTTTCATCATTTAGCAGCTGTTTGGGTGCAATGTATGGTACACCTCGAGTTCTTCAATCTATTGCTAGTCAAAATGTTTTACCAGGAATTAGTTGTTTGCAAAGAGGAGTGAGTGGGACAAAAAAACTTTTATTATTTAAATTATTTATGATTATGATACTAAAAT